TAGGGCTTATTTGGGCGCCAAGAAAAGTGAATAAGGGCCCCAGGAGGGCTCCAAGAAGGCCCCCAGAGGGCCTCAAGAGTGGCCCAAAGAGACCTCAAGAGGGCCCCCAAAGCGCCCCCTTCCCCTAAGGATTTTTCCGGATCCCATGGATTCGCAAATATTCCTAAGGATTCCTGACGGAATCCGGAGGAGTCCTGATCCTAAGGATCCTAAGGGATCCCAGGGACCCTAAGGAATCCTAAGGATCTTAAGAGATCCTAAGGAATCCTAAGGAATCCGAAGGAACCGAAGTACTTCTGAAGAAGAACAAGTACTTCTGAAAAAGAAAGAAGTACTTTTGAAGAAGAAAGCAGTACTTCTGAGGATCCCATGCATGCAATTGGTCCCATTTATGGTTGCAATTCGCTCCGAACGGTTGGAATTGGGACGAGTCGGTTGTAATTCGTCCCATTTCGGTGGGAGGGGCGGGGGGAGGAGGAGTGAGGGGGGTTTAGGGAGAGAGGGAGGAGGGAGAGGGGAGAGAGGCAGGCCAGAGAAACGCGAGGAGCCACAACCACAGATGGCCCCTCCGCCTCCTCCTCCTCCTCCTCCTCCTCCTCCGCCTCCCCGCGATCCGTCTGGCCCCTATGGGCCGCCAGGCATAGCAGAAAACCGAACCCCCGACACAAACTGAATCCATAGTTTCTCTGATGGGGGGGCGGGGAACATTGAAACATCACATGGAACCCGTGCCCCCCCCAAGCCCGAAATTCGGGTCAAATTCGGGTCTTCGGGTTGGGTTGGGGTGGTCTGGTAGGCAGTCAGCCGCGGCCGCCGCCGACGCCAAGGCAGTGGCGGCGCGCGCCTGCAACACTAGGCGGCAGGTGTTCAGGGGGGCCTGCCTGGCGCGTGCACGCAGAACCCTCTTCGAGGCCCGCTCGGGCACCTCTTCGTGGCCCTCTTCGGGAGCCTCTCGGGAGCCTCTCGGGGCTCTCACAGGACCTTCGGAGGAGCCTCCCAGAGCTTTCTCTCCGTAGCCTCTCCACAGTCTCTCCAGGGTGTCTCGAGCGCTTGTTGCAAGCCTGCGGCTGAGACAGTCCGTTGGGGTCCGTCGCTGGGGCCAGTGTTGCTCCCGGGGCGCCAAGATGATTCTGCTGATCATGAGGATGATGAGGAAGCTGAGGGTGCCGCTGGTGATGAGAACGATGATGATGCTGGTGTTCATGATGGTGGTGGTGGTGGTGGTGTTTATGATGATGGCCCTGGCGGTAGTTGTGGTGGTACTGCTGGTGATGATGCTGATGCTGATGATTCTGATGCTGCTGCTGATGATGGTGGTGATGATTATGCAGGTCATGGTGGAGATGATGATGACGCTACTGATATTAATGTTGATGGTGCTGATGATGATGCTGATGATGATCACTATGGCGACGGTGATGATGCTGCTGATGATGATGACGACGATAATGAGGATGGTGATGGCGAGGCCTGGGGCTTGTGATTATGATTGTGGTAATGCTGATGATGTTGATAATGATGATGATTATGATGATGGTGATGACGATGGTGGTAATGGCGGCGATGTGGATGCTGATGTTGATGATGATGATGGTGATGTTGATGATGCTGATGATGATAATGACGATGATGATGATAGCGATGATGCTGGTGATGATGACGATGATGATGATGTTGATGATAATGACGATGCTGATAAATATGATGAGGATGTGGATGCTGTTGATGATGATGATCATGATGATGATGGTGATGGTGATACTGGTGATGGTGATACTGATACCGATGATGATGATGATGATGATGATGATGATGATGATGATGATGATAATGATAATGATGATGATGCTGATGATGATGATGACGAGGTTGTTGGCGATCGTGATGGTGGTGGTGGTGACGATGACGGTGGTGGTGGTGGTGGTGATGATGGTGATGACGATCGATGGTTGTGGTGGTGTCGTGTTGGTCAGTATAACGTCACTGCTTATGATGATGCTGATGCAGATGGTGCTGATGATGAGGATGATGGTGATGCTGATGATGACGACGGTGACGATCACGATGATGATGACGATGATGATGATGCTGCTGATGATGATGATGATGATGGTGGTGATGCTGCTGATCATGATGATGCTGATGCTCATGATGACGATGGCGCTGCTGGTAGTGATGTTGATGATGAGGTTGTCCATGATGACGATGGAGACCAAGAGGAGGAAGTGGAGGAGGAGGAGGAGCAAGATCCAGATAAATATCATGATGATGATGATGATGCTGTTGATGATGATGATGATGATGATGATGCTGATGCTGATGATGATGATGATGAGGAGGAGGAGGAGGAGGAGGAGATGGAAGAGGAGGAGAAGGAGGATGAGGAAGAGAGAACGAGGAGCAGGAAGAGGAGCAGAGGGATCTGGCACAGAAACACCCCTCGCCTCTGTGGGTGGCCGAGCAGGGCCGAAGCCGAGGGCAGGTACTGGGCGCTCTGCTACTGCAGCGCGGTGTGCTCGCTTCCCATCTGCATGGTGCCCGGCGAGCTAGCCGTGGTCCGCCCCGTCCTTTCGTCGCCGTCGTCGTCGTCGTCGTCGTCGTCGTCGTCGTCGTCGTCGTCATTGTCGTCATCGTCGGCGTCGGCGTGGTGGTGGAGGTGGTGGTGGTGGTCGTCGTCGTCGTCGTCGTCCCCGTCGTCCTCGACTTCGTCCTCGTCGTCCTTGTCGTCGTCGTCCTCGTCGTCGTCGTCGTCGTCGTCGCCCTCGTCGTCGCCCTCGTCGTCGTCGTCGTCGTCGTCGTCGTCGTCGTCGTCGTCGTCGTCGTCGTCGTCCTCGCTGTCGTTGTGCGGCTCCTGGCCGCGCTGGCCCAGATCGCCGGCAGGAGCGCCGCGGGGTGGCCGTGTGGCTCCCCTTTGGCGCCGCGGCGCTGGCCGCGGAGCCGCCTCCTCGGAGCGTGCAGACACAGCCGCTCACCTTGGCGCAAGCAGTGGCGAAGCGTCCCGGCTCGCCTATAGGCTCACCAAGCGAAGTTCTAAGAGCCCTTTGTGGTTTCCAGGAGATGCTCTGAGAGCACTTCTGGCTGGGGCTGTCTTGTTTGAACACATCGGGTCGATGTTCTAAGAACATTTTGGGGTTCTAACAACATGTCGTGGTAGGCCTATAGGAATGCCGGGACGGTCGGTCCCTGCTATAAACGTGTGCACATTCTCCCCCGGCGAGGACAATCGAGAAGCAGGCGATCGTCTGCCGATCGGCGCGAGCCCTCGCCCCCCCCCCTCTCCCCTCCCCAGTGGAGGAGGTCTTGGTTGTCTTGGGCGCCTGTTTGGAGCAGGTGGGGTCTCCCCCCACAGGACGCCTTGTTGCAAGCAGGCGCGTTCAGCAGAGGTCCAGAGCCAGACCCCCGCCCCCCCTCCCCCCCCCCCTCCTGCCCAATGTCGATACGCCGAGTCAGAAAACGTTCACCATCGTGGATTTCTTCTGGCTGGACTCTGCCTCTCCAGGTAGGGGCTACGTCCACTCGGGCGGAGCAAAACCAATCGGGTGCTCGGCCTCTGTCTGAGTGTACCATTTCTGGACTTGGCCTCTCCTGACTCCCGATGCAGTCGGCTTCGATCGGCGGTGTTTCGGCCACGCTCGCAGGACAGCCTGCTGAGCAGGGCTGCTGCACGGTCTCTGCGATGTTTCTGCAGTAGCTTGGTGCGTCGTCTTCCTTGTCCGTGGTGCGGGATCGCCCCCTCGAGGGACAGCGGACTCTCCCTGTCTTTGCCGCGGAGCAAAAAGCAGTCCACCCGCATAATGAGGATGGGTATCCTTCCCAGGGGTACCCTTGCATCCTTGCCCCCTTGGGCCTATCCTTAGCCACTTTTGCTGGCCGCGCCCCGCTCGAAAAGCTCCGAAATGGGCGTCCAAGGCCCGTGCATCCTTATCGCGCATGGTACGGCTTGACTGTAGGATGATTCGGACAGGCCGAAAGCGTCCAGCAGCCACGATGCTGGCTGGATACTTAAGCTTGGGTCGAGGCGGCCAAGACTCTCGCCGCAGATAGCGATGGCCCTGGTTATGGCGTGGCCAGGACCCGGGAGCTCTCTCACAGCAATCCAGAGCCCTCCGGAACGGTCGCAGCGCCCGATCCATCCTCAAAGCGCGCCGGTTTTCAGAGATTCCCGTTTTTCGGGGGCAACGATAGGGGGGGGATAGGCGTAAGGGGGGATGCATCGACCCTCAATCGCTCATTGATCGCCGATAGGGCCCCGATAGCCCCAACCTGCCCAGGAATGTTCGGATTCACTGTCGGAGGCCTATCGCCGATCTATCGGCGATGTATCGCGGATTCCAGGTCGATGCATCCCCCCTATGACAGTCCCCCTCTGTGACAGTCCTGTAGCTTCGTCTTGCCTGGGGCACTGCCCGTGTGCGCTGGATCCAGTCCAGTCCTGCCCCGCGCATGCAGCGAGGGGGGCAGGGCCCGGTTGGGCTCGGGTCAGCATTGGTAGGCCTGTCCCCATCCCCTCCGGGAGATCCTGGTCCCCGCTGTCTGGCCTCCCCCCTGCCCGTCTCCTTCGCCCCTGTCCCGGCTTACCCCTGTCCTGGACTCCGCCATGTGAGCGACGCAAACAAAGACGGGGTCGTCTTCACCGAAAAATGGCGCGTGAGCTGCCGCGTAATATCGCGCGTGAGCGCCCCCGTTTGCAGTGTGACGTGGCGCGCTGTCGGCCCGCGTAAGCTGCGGCCTAAGGTCGCTATGTCGTCTCGCGTAAGACCCGCCCCTGATCGTCGCTCATGTGAGCGACGGAAGCATACGGGGTCGACTGCGCCGACATCGGCGGGTAGGCTTCCCGCGTGAGGTCGCGCGTAAGCGCCCTCTTCTCCACGCGGTGTGCCACACTGGCGGCCTGCGCAAGTCACCGCGGAAGGTCGCTGTGCCATCTTGCGTAGGACGCGCTTCCTTCCCTCGCGCGCAGATGATCAACGCAAACCAGAGCTGGGTACGACCCCGTCCGTAGCGATTTTTGGCTCAAGCCGTCTCAGGCTCGAAGAGGGAGCAGGACCTCGCGGGAGGTCTCGCGCAAGCGCTGCTCCGAGCGTTTGCCAATGGCCGCCATGCTCTGCGGGCGGGTGGGCGGCGCCTGCTGTGCCGGCGAGGAGGATGCCTCTGCGCTCGCGGGGCTGCACCAGGAACGAGCCGCTTCGGAGGCCGCGCACGCGGCGTACCTGGCCAAGCACGCCGCCTTCTGGGTCGAAGATGCCTATCGGATGATGGGCGCGGACCCGTGCTGCGGCCTGAAGGCTGCCGATATCGTCGTCGGTCAGGTTGTGGGCAGGTCCGAGGAGGACCGTCGTGCTCGGAAGGCCAGAAGAGTCTGTGTCACGGTTCACCGGGACAGTGTCAATGATTCACTGGGCATCCATGTGAAGCACGTGAATAGACAGTTGGTGCTCGTGGGCATCAGGTCGGACGGCGCCTTGCACCGCTCCTCGGCCCAGAGCAAGGAGCGTGGAGGTGACACGCTGGAAGCCGGGGACATCATCGTCCAGATCAACGATGTTCTGGACGACGATGCCGCTATGGTGCAGGAGTGCAAGGACAGGGCAACTCTTGTCATCCACGCATTGCGACATGTCGCCTGAGTTGGCCAGTGTCTCATTGGGAGGTCAGGCGAACATGGCATGCAGGGTCTTGGGATTCTGTCATTTTTCCCTCGCCTCTTCCCTTCAGAACTGGCACCTGTAGAGTTCTTTGCCAGCGTTGTGCTGGTCACGTAGGTACAGATGTTGCCACGTGGCCCGCTTGATGCTAACAAGGGCTTGCCGTGATAGTTGTTCAGCGGAGTGGTGCCTCTTTTTTCCATGTGCACGCATTTCGTGGTTGCCCGTTCCTAAGTGTACGAGTAGCTCTTGTTCTTCTTTGGGAGTATACTCCGTAAGCAATCAGAGTTGACAGAGCAATCACCGCGCCCTGCCTCGTCTTTTGTCAGATGATCGACGCTGGCTGGGCTCTCTGCTCTGGTGTCATATTGCGTACGCGCTCGTGCATGCTACTTGCCTGGGCTGAAGAACTGCGTAAACGCGCAGGCTTCGCCGCGTGACTGTGAACTTCCAATTCACAAACAGATGGGTCCGACCGCGCCTGACCGCCCTTTGCTTCGCACCTTCGGGGCCCTTGTCCGTCCTACGAATTCCATGTTTTTCGTCGTGCTCGACGCGGATGCGGCGCGCATGCGACGCGCATCCGACGCGGACTTGACGTGGATCCGACGCGGAGTCGACACGCTCGCCACGGATGCGACGCGGATCGCGGCGCGATGGGACAGACGAGGCTCGGGAAGGGGGGGTTACGTATACGTATACGTAATCTGCTGCATGCAGCTCGTTGCGGCCCCGCCGCCGGGCCCATTCCTCGATGCATGTGCGCCCCCCCGGCGCCGGGAGGCGCCGGGAAAATCAGCCGCGTGAGCCGATTCTCGACCCTCCCCTTTGCTGTTCCCCCTTTTCGTTCACCCCGAGACAGACGAGGCCCCCCGAAGATGCACCATGACGCAACTCGTCGGTGCAGTCGGGGTTCAATGGCGGGCGTCAAGCCTTCAACACGGTTCCTGGCAAAGCAGCGCTGGAACTGCCCTCTTCAATTCGCGGTGGCAAGCCACCCCGAATTGTTGTTTCTTTTTTTTTTTTGGGCCTGTTTGTGTTTTTGCTGGTTGCTTGGTGAGGGGGGAAGCCCTGGCGGCGTGCCGCGAGCCGACGGCCCGCGCCGGCTGCCGCTCCTCGGAAGGCCGCCGGGTCGCCGTGCGCAGGGCCTCGGGGAGCCCCACCCCGGGGGTTGCCAGAGGTCCTCCTCCTGCCTCCTCCTCCTCCTGCCTCCTCCTGCCTCCTGCCTCCTCCTCCTCCTCCTCCTGCCTCCTCCTCTTCCTGCCTCCTCCTCCTCCTCCTCCTCCTCCTCCTCCTCCTCCTCCTGCCTCCTCCTCCTCCTGCCTCCTCCTCCTCCTGCCTCCTCCTCCTCCTCCTCCTGCCTCCTCTTCCTGCCTCCTCCTCCTCCTGCCTCCTCCTCCTCCTGCCTCCTCCTCCTGCCTCCCGCCTCCTCCTCCTCCTCCCCCTCCTCTTCCTCGTCCTCCTGCTCCTCCTGGCCCCAGGTGCTCCCAGCTCTTCTCGCTCAGTTTCTTGGAGCCCCTGGGGCCGTCTCGGCCTCGCTAGGGGGGGTGCTCTGGGGAGGCCGAGGGAGGGGCCTCTCTGGAGAAGTCCCGGGGGCACCTTGGGCCAGGGGGGCTTGTTCGGGGGCGGCACAGAAGGGGGGTGACGACTAGGGGGGGGGGGGGGGGGGGATACCATGGCGTGGGCCATGACGCTTCCTCAGCTTCCATGGCGCCTCTTTTTCCTCCTTCGTTGCGCCCCCGGCCCCACCCCCCGGGGCCGCGCACATGCCGCCGGCCACGATTGGCCCCCCCCCCCCCTCTTTGACGCCCCCCTCTGCTGGGCCGCCCCCCCTTTTGGAGCAGCGTCCGGCCACGCCGCCACGGCGCTCGGGCGGCGCTCGGCGATGGCCCTCGGACGGCGGCGGTCGTCCCCGTTCCCTCCCCTCGGGCCCGCGGCAGCCCCGGGCTCGTGGCGGCGGGGGCCTCCCGGGAGGGGCCTCCCTCGCGCGTGCCGCCGTGTCGCGCAGGGGCCTCGGCGCTCGGCGGGGCCGAGGCGTGCGGGCGGCGGCGGTGCGTCGCGCGCGAGGTTCGCGGCGGCGATGCCGTCGTGTGCAGGGTTCTCGGCGCCCGATCGGACGGCGGTGATCGTGGCGGAGAGCAGGAAGAAATCCTGCGCTCATGTCGGGCGTGTCCCCCTACAGGGGGGATTCTCGACGAAAACTAACAAATACCACTAACATAGTAAAACGATAGTCAAAAATAGTCAGGGGACTATTTTTTGAGTAATGTTTGACCTTGTTTGGGGTATTTCTTATTTTTCGTCGAAAATCCCCCTGTAGGGGGACACGCCCGACATAAAAGAAATCCTACGCCCGATAACGTTGCGAATACGTGTCCCCACGTAGGTCCCCGTCTTCGCCTTCGGAGAGCAATGCTGGGCGGGATGGTGTGGCACATCTGCAGAACAAGGGCACCCATCTCCGATGCCTTCGGCCCTCTCAGCTGAGGTCCGCTCCCAAAGCGTCAGGGGCACCTTTATTCCTTACAGCTGACCCGCACACTTGTGATGAGCGGCTTTCCAAGGTTGCCCTTGCATCCACCCCTGTCGGCCCATCCTTGGTCACTCTCGCTGGCCGCGGCCCGTTCGCGGAGTGTCGGCATGGCCCTCCGAGGCACTTGCATCCGTATCGTGCGTCCTTGTTCGATGGGTTAACTGTAATTCGGAAGCCGGGCAAGGGCTGCTAAATCCGTGGCTGCTTACATCGACCTCCGGGAAGTCGTCTTCGTCCTTCCGGGAAGAAGCCCGTTGACTGTTTCTTGGTGGTCTCCAAACCAGGTGGTGAGACACCCGGTGGTGACCCCGATTCCCCCAAAAGATAATTCTGGGTCACCACCGGGTTTGGGGACACGCGGTCGCCACGAGGTTTTGCGTTTCCTGGGCCAGCCAGCGCTCGAAAACCATTACCCAAATCGCCCAAAACTCACCACCGGGTGTTCTCACCACCACGTTTGGGGACCACCAAGTTTCGCGTGCCGCGCCTCCTTCCGGGAAGCTGTTTCTTTCCTTCCGGGAGGGCCGTTTTAGCAGCCACGGTTGTAGCAGCCCTCGCCCAGCTTTCGAGTAATGATTCGGGGCGAGCTGGTTCGGTTCCGGTCCGCTCCCACAGGGTGAGGGGTGCCGTTGCAGTCGACCCGCAGAATTCGAGTGAGCAGCTTTCCAGGGCTGCCCTTTGCATCCCTGCCCCTCCGGCCCATGCTCAGCGACCCTCGCCGGCCGACTTCGCCCGAGAAAGGTTGACGTGGCCCTCTATACGACCCTCGCACCCCCAATCCCAGACCCCCGACGTAATGATTTTTTCATTACGTCGACCCCCAGAGGTCCCGACCCTTTCCCCATGACCGGCTTTGCATCCTGAGTCGTTTTTTGACGCTCTCGAGGCCCGGTGAGGGCCTCCAGAGGCCGAAAGTTAGGAAAAACCTCCCGTCATGTTTTTTTCATTACTCGAGGGGGTCTGGGAGTATCGTACCTCCTTGCTATACGGGTTGACTGTGAGTTCGGTCCCGCGGTGCCCCACGGCGCCCCCCGCCAGCCCTTGCCGCATGGCTGCCGCCCTTCCGCCGCCCTTGCCCACCGTGGTTCGCCTTCCCGCCGCCCACCGCGCTCCGGCCCTGCGCGCCTGGCCGCTGCTGCCTCCCCAGCCGCTCCTCGTCGAACTCGTCGACGTCTGAGTGTCTTTTCCTTCTCTCGGTCGTCCCCCCCCCCCCCCCTCTTTGCTCGCCGGCCAATTCGCTACTTAGTGCCCCTATCTTCAGGAGCGAAAGAAGGACGTACATGTACATGAATCCACGCTGGTTTCGAGAGCACGCATTGCCCGAAAGTTCGTATCACGCGGCCGGTCTCGCGGATCGAGGGGCCGTGTTCATGTACATAGCTGGGCGCGTACGTCCTTTGTGGGCTCCCTATATCTATCTAGCTTTACGCTGGAGCAGAGTTCGCCGCCTCGCCGCTGACGAACAGCATAACTTAAGTCCGCTCCCAAAGGGTTAGCGGCACCTTTCCAGTCGGACCGAGGCGTAATATCGAGGTCGGTTCAGGGTGCCCTAACGTTATTCGTTCCTGTTGGATGTTCTAGTGCATCTTGCTCTGTGTGTTTTGGCCGACTGGGGGTCTCATGCTCTTGAGGGATGTTTTTTCTGGCCTGAGGAGGAGCAGGAGGAGCAGGAACAGGAGGAGGAGGACGAGGATGCGGAGGAGGAGGAGGAGGGGGAGGAGGAGGAGGGGGAGAGGAGGAGGAGGAGGAGGAGGAGAGGAGGACAAGGAGGACAAGGAGGAGGACAAGGAGGAGGAGAAGGAGGAGGAGGACAAGGAGGAGGACAAGGAGGAGGAGGCAGGAGGGAGGATCGGGACCACACCCCGACGACGACGCCCCCCCGAGAGCCTGGTCCGACCGCGCTGCTGCTCGGGGAGGCGCCCGCGGCGGTGGCCCTCCGACGCCCGGGCCGCGCCAGCGCGCCGCCGCGGCGCCCCGGGCGGCGGCGGCGCGCGCGGCGGCCGGCGGCGGCGGCGGCGCCTCGGGGCACGGCCTGGCGCTACGTCGGGCGTTAAGCCTGGGGGAAAAGCTTTTTGTTGTTTTGTCTTGCCATTTTATTGGATCATTTTGGGAGGGCATTTTTTTGGCGAGCAGTTTGCATGTTTCGTCCAGAATCCGCCTGTAGGGGGACACACGCCCGACTTAGCGCCTGGCGGCGCGCTGCCAGGTCTCCTGCATCGCCCTCGGGGAGGCGCGTGCGCGCCGCCGGGGGGGGCGGGCCCCCCCCCTCCCCTCGAGGGTGTCTTTTTGTTGCTGCCCTCTGGGCCAGAGGGATCTCCAGCTCAGGGGCAACGGTAGGGGGGGATGGGCATAGGGGGGGATGCATCGACCCCCAATCGCTCATTGATCGCCGATAGGGGCCCGATAGCCCCAACCTGCCCAGGAAGGTGCATATTCGCCATCGGAGGCCTATCGCCGATCTGTCGGCGATGTATCGCCGATCCGTGGCCCCTCACCAGAGAGCCGGCGCTCCCCCCCAAAAAGGGGAGCGGCTGTTTTTTTTGTTCTGCAGTTCTGGGCCTCCGGGGGCCCTCGCCGGGCCTCGGGAGCGTCAAGGAATGACTCAGGACGAACTGGCCCCGGGGAAGTGGTCCAGACTTCCGGGGCCCACGCATCAACAAAAATTGGACTAGCCGGATGTCTGGGAACGCGCGTGATGCCCCCTGCCCTCCCCACTCCCCCTGCCCCCCTTCCACGGCGTAATGCTTCCCCCCCCCTCGGTGCGTCCCCGGCAGTGCCGCAGTGCGTCTGGCACCACAGTTTGGGGGTGGGGGGGAGGCGCGGGCTGCGTTCTGTCCCCCCGCGCCCCCTCCCCCAGAACGCCCGTTATGGCCGCGGATCAAGAGAACGCTCCTCGTGCTCCCCTCCCGGGGGGGGGGGGAACTTCTTCAGTCCAGCTTGTCGAGCCCCATGGGGCAATCGCGGATCGTGCCGGGTGCCGGTCCGAAAGTTGACGCAGAAAGATTTGGTTTTCGGAGGTTGACAATAGACCTCTTGCCCTGAAACGTCGATTGGCGAATTGGCCGTTGTCGGTTCGCGTGAGGGCGTCGCGGCCGTCACCT